CACCTGTTGTTTTAAGTAATGACAATACTACATATTGATGAAAGAAATATTGTTAATGTCGATGTGATAGGAAACCAGCGACGCAAAAATGACAGTTAGAGGTCAAAATACGGTATTGAATAATAGAGAAGTCCGCAAAGCAAAATAACGTGAAAACGATGGCAAACAATATCATTTCATCCTAATCAAGCTGTTTGATGATGACAATTGGACAAACCTATCCTCTTTTTAACAAATACATATTTATAAAATAGACAAGTGAGCATAATAAGGAAAAGTTCTGAATATCACCCCGTCGTCAAAAATTATAATGATTTGATTTAACAAAACTACCAAATATCTGCCACCAACGCCAAATAACTATAACTAAACTCTTGTTAATCGACCAAACTTTATAAATATAAATTCAAGAATGAAGTACCAACGAATTAAACCAATCAATGAAAGGAAAATTAATTACCAATAAAAATAGAAATGCGACTTTCATCATCTTTTCTTCGATAAAAAAGGGACAACCATTACATTTTAGACTGCATGCTCCATAGAGACTCCCTTAAAAGAACATATATATCGTGTGTTTGTACATAAATCAGGTCATACGTTTTCCCGTCTAAATTGCTCATTCGGGGCCTTTTAAAGCGTGTTATGCGGTGTGGGTTTTGCTCGTTGCTGGGGGCCGTGCGGTGACCTATAGTTGCTAATTTCTACCTCATTAATTCTCTGGCGGAGAGTTGCCTATTGGGCAATCATACCGCATCATATTTTTATAACAACCAATGTCACATGTGCTGCTCAGTCATAGTATTAAACTGATAAAAAACAAAGATATCAGGCTAATGATTACTTATGTCAAACGCGCTTTTAATCTACATTAGACTGATCAGCTGCGCTCCAATCAAAACAATAGTCAGGCAAATTCTAGAACAAAATTAAAGAGCAGAAAAAAACTTTTGGGTTTCGGAAGATTTTTAATTTTCAACTACTAATGAACAGTATTTTTACAGAAAAAAACCGAGTCAATGATATTTTATGTCAGCATAGGAATGTTGACTACTGGGCTGGTGATAACGTAGAGGTCAAAACGTCCACCACCATTTGCATCGACCCAATGGTTGTTCAAATTGATCAAAGATACCAGACTTATAATTCCGTACGCTAGAAGGGCGTTTCGTCTTCATAAAAGTAATTAGTGTCAATTGAATACTAATAGTTGGATGGTCAAATCTACAACAAAGTTGAAAAATTATAGGAAATCAAAAATTCCACCAGTTCGTTTCAAATCTGTTCAGACCTTTTTTTAAACAATTCATGAACAGCTAATTTAAAGAAATCAAAGTATCTTTGATATTTCATGTCCGCACAATCACTTTACAAGACATTTGGTCGTTCATTGTTAAGACAGTGAATCACAGTTGATCGCATATATAGTTCAAAAGTGCATAAGTTATTTTACCGATATCAACTCTAAACCTGTAACCGGCTTTTTTCCACTAGGAACAACGACTGTTATTACATGCGAAGGTATGTATGCTTAACCCTCCAGGAGCACCTGGTATCTTTCCTGGTTTTGTTGTAAGTTTGTTTGTCCATTCTTATTTTTTGTCTTTGCTGCTCGTATGAGTCTTTAATGTTGGTCTATATGCTTTTCTTTTCTAAATCAGTTCTTGTTAAGTATTGTATGCGTATTCCCCTCAGTATTTATGTGAAAGTATTTACATTTCATTACTTAGATTCATTTTATGTCCTCGATTGTTACATCGTCGAATAAGGTATACTTACAATGAGCAACAAGACGGATACCAATAGTGGAACAGGATCTGCTTACCCTTTCTGGAACACATCAGATCACCCCGGATTTTGTGTTCGTGATTATTAGACTTGAGTTATTTTATGTAGTGCTTTGTAGACTATTGTTTGACTTTTGTCGTTTTTGTTTTTTTGCCCTGATTTTGTCGGTCTCTCTTTGACTTATGAGTTTTGATTATCCCTTTGGTATATTCCTCCTTTTCTTTTCAATTATAGATTTAAGTCATAACTTGAAGCAGTTTAATCATTAGAAGGACCGATGAAAAAACAATGAGATAGAACAGCTCAGATAATTTAAAGAATCTTGAAAAAGAAATGCAATGATGTTGGTACCTAATGTTCATTGGTTGACGTTTGTTGATGTGGGTCATAAGTGTTTCTCGTTTTTTATATAGATTAGACCGTTGGTTTTCCTGTTTCGATGGTTTTGCACTAGTCATTTTTGGGGCCCTTCATAGCTTGCTGTTCGGTGTGGGCCAAGGCTCCGTGTTGAAGGCCGTACCTTGACCTATAATGGTTTACTTTTACAAATTGTGACTTGGCTGGAGAGTTGTCTCATTGGCACTCATACCACATCTTCTTATATCTATTTGAAATATATCTAACATTGTGTGGTGGTTGTCGGTTTCTATGATCACTCTGTTATTTTTTTGTTTGCCATATTTTTTATTATTTATTTTGCTGCTATCTAATTGAATTGTGTCTCAGTTCCTTTAATCATTAAAAATGTTTTTATTTTCTGTTTATTTGAAAGCGATGACGTAAGAAAGATAACTCACTTTTTTAATTCTTTTTCAAAAGGAAAAAAGGAAAAAGGATGCAAGAACCACACACAATAAAAACTTATACAATAAAGTAGATTGGAATTATTGAAAGTCGTGTTTTTGCAATAGTTGTAAGTGAAGAACTGTGAACACTTCGACTTATGGAATTGAATAGTGTTTCATTCAAGACAAAAATATTCAACATTATTAATAGAAAACGGCATTAAAACGGCTACGAAATTGACATTATCACATCTCTGTACAATCCGAGAGAAGAATAGAGAGAATCTGATATTGCCGTTTATAACTTATCACGACCCGGGAGTAACGCATACTTATATTTTGGTATTAATATTGATTCACTCATAGGGTCTTTGCATCGGAAATAAACATATTTATTCTAAAACCAGTTGTTGGCATAATACGGGTTATGTTCTTCTCATATATTTTATAATGGTATGATACTAAACCCCTAACGGGTGGTATTGTACTTGATTTTCATATGATGAAGACATAATCTTTCAATCAGTTTAATTGAGGTTTGGAGCTGGCATGTCAGTAACTGCTAGTAGTCCTTTGTTCATTTATGTATCATTGTCATTTTGCTTAGTTTCTTTTGTTATCTATTCTGACATCGGACTCGGACTTCTTTTAGACTGAGTTTTACTGTGCGTATTGCTATAAAAAGTAAAATCACAAAAATACTGAACTCCGAGGAATGTGTTTCTTTTTTCTACATTGACTAGAGGTATAGGGGGAGGGTTTAGATCTCACAAAACATGTTTAACCCCGCCGCATTTTTGCGCCTGTCCTAAGTCAGGAGCCTCTGGCCTTTGTTAGTCTTGTATGTTTTTTTTTAATTTTAGTTCATTTATATGTTTTGGAGTTTAGTGTGACGTCCATTTTCACTGAACTAGCACACAATTTTATTTAGGGGAAAGCTTAGGACCACCTCCGGGTGCGGAATTTTCTCGCTGCATTGAAGACCCATTGGTGGCCTTCGGTTGTTGTCTGCTTTTTGGTTGGGTATTTGTCTCTTTGACATATTCCCCATTTCCATTCTCAATTTTATTATAATGTTGCAAAGGAAAATGTTTCCCATTCTGTATCAAAGAGAAAAATTGAAAAATGTGTTAAAAAAACCAAATTATCCATAGTCGACGCAAACCTAGCAACCTAAAGAAACAACTACCAAGGGCTAAAATGTGATATGAATGAACCAAACTTTTACGTAACAACTTGTGGTGATTCTAGGTGTGGATGTATCAGGGATAATTAGTATATGAAATACATTAAAAACTGGGAAAATAATCGAAGTATACACATATATACAAAAAAGTAAATCTGCATCCACACAAGAAGAAATATCCGTATGACCATACAATATGGTATATTTTTTTTTTGCATTAGAAGGATGACATGAATGGATATATATATACTAGCATTGATAATGCAATCGTCGAGGTATCATTTCCAATTATTTATTACGTAGTTTCGGAATTTTTGATCGATTTCCAATTTGGTCGATTGGAATTCTATATATTTATAGATAGCAATGTCATGCAAAATAACACACACGTACTTAATTACAGAATTGGGTCAAATGGGAAAAGTACTGGAAACCTTCGATCATGATTTCCGAAACAAAGTGATTCATAATTGGAAACCAAACCTCACCGATTGCATTATATTTTTGAACAGATCAAAGGAGACATTTAAAAGTTCCGAGACCTACAGAATACCTTGCAGCTGTCTATACGATTTTTTACAATTTAAATAAGCAAAACTTATTTACCTTTTTCTACATAGTCTTATCAAAACCTGGTAGTCACCGATATCTATGACCAACAAAAATGGACACACGTCAATATTTAAATGTCCATTCGTGTCATCCTTCTAACATAAAACTTAAGATTTCTAAACAGTGTACAGAATTATATAACTAAAAATGAAGAAGCTAGAAATGTTTTAACATTGCTGTATTGTCTAGCTTCATCCACCTTGGAACTTGTGACTAAGTATGTTTAAGAAAATGAACGCTTGTTTATTACCATTTGGTAACATTTCAGTGTGGCTATTAAAATACCAAAACAAGATTTCTCAGGAATTTTCTCATTATATAGTTTTTAGCAATGTTGGAAGCCATGCATGTTTTATTTTTGTTGTGGTTTGCAAACATCAGAACTTGAAGGACATATTATTCAATGTGTCTAGATATGATATGACAGGGTGCGAATATCAGCAGTTATAAAAATTAAAGAGTTCATTTTCAACATTCAAGTAGTCATAACACAAAGGGAAATGAGTCGTATTGTAATCACCGTTTCAAGTCATGAGGAAACTACATGGTGGTTGCAGTTTACTTGTTCAAATTTAAACATTACTAAATATAGTAGTTTAAAAAGGTAAAAATAAAGTATTCTTGAGTAATGCGTAAAAAATTTTAACAGGAAGTTCAACATCAATATAAGAGATGGCCACATCCAAACCACATACTGGATCTATCAGAAAGGAACAAACTGCTCTAGTCTGCCAATTATGTGAAAATGAGCCAAAAATCAAATGGAAGTGTTTACAATGCTCTTTGATGATGTGTCAGAGATGTAGAGACAAAGTTCATCCTAAATTTAAATCTGCAGAAAGTCATCAAATTCTTGACCTGAAAGATGTGGGAAAGTTAAAGTATGAGGAAGAGATAGACTTCTCTCAGTTCAAGTGCAATGCACATTCAGGGCAGCCATGCTGTTTATTCTGTGAAGGTTGTAAAATCATGATCTGTCCTAGCTGTGTTGCTGGAATCCACAAAAAACATGACCTAGTTGAAATTAAGGTGGAAATACAGAGGAAAGTGGTGAGTGTTCAGAACAGAATAAAAGTCACTGAATCTCAATTGAAAGAACTGAAGGAGGATGAAAGGAAATTAAGAGGAATTCATTCAACAGAAAAGGACAATTACGATAAATTGGGTGAAAAAATTCTGAAACAAGAAAAACATATCTTTAACATTTTACAAAACCATACAAGAACGCTCAAAGATGAACTTAACGAGAAATGGACAGATATAGACCATTCTGTCTCTGAAGAAATAAAGCAAGTAATAGAATCTGGTACTAAATTAGAAACACAAAACAAAACTTTACTTGAAATTCTCCACAACAATGATCCAGTTAAAATTGTTGCTTGCAGCGCAAGTTCTGCCAAGATCAAGCCTACTGTTCTCAACTTCAAAACGATGCCAGTATTTGTTCCTAATAAGCTACATGAAAATGACCTGAAATACGGTTCTTTGAAACAGCTGCTATCAATACACAAACAGCCACCATCAATATCAACTTCAAACACAAAATTTCAACTTTTGAATCAATTTACTCTGGACCATGACATTACCAAAATAAAAGTTGGGGCAGATAACTCAATATGGGTAGCACATCGATTTGAGCAAATTCTTTTGAATATGAAAGTAACGGAAACAGGCCCAAAAATAATTAACCGTTTCACTGATCTTTATGTCTACGATATGGATTTCTCATTTAAACAGGATTTATTGTTGTCCATTGAAAATTGTCACATCTCAGTCATACCAAGTGGAGGTAAAGTAATAAAAGAACTTTCTAATATTTCTCCCCTTGTTACAGAAGCTATCCATGTGACCAAAGATAGAAAAATAATTATCGGTGCTATGGATAGTGGACCACACTTTTCAGTTGGAAAAAATTCAAAACGACAAATGATCATAATGAATGAAAAAGGGAAAATGATAAAGACTTTAGACATGGTAAAAGACAGACTGCCTCAATTTACGTTTCCAAGTCGTATTGCAAGTAATTCGAAAGGGTATATTGCAGTTATTGACATTCATTCACAGGAATACGATGGTAGGGTTGTGGTTCTGAATACGAATGGGAAAATTAAGAACTTCTACACTGGTCATCCAAAAATCAACACCGATTGTCCGTTTCCACCATCAGATATTGATTTAATTCCACAGGAGAACTTCTTGGTCTTGGACTATAAATCGTGTTGTTTCCATGTCTTGGATGAGTGCGGCGATTTCAAAGAGTTTTATGACATAAGACATATAAACACTGATGGATTACCTCAAGCATTTACCTTTGCCAACAATTATCAACACTTATATATTGGATATATACAATATGAAAACAGCAAAACAAAGTCAAAAGTGTGTGTAGTTCAGACACCGTTTTAAGAAATACTGTATTTAACTAGTGAACTTTTGTATACTTTGAGAACTGCAATATCATAAATTAAGATAAATTAATATTGCGAATAAACTCATCATAATTACCAGAATAAAAAAAATATACGTCAGATGCGCCAAAAGACTCATCAGTGACGTTCGAATCAAAAAATCAAAAAAGGCAAAATAAAGTTGAAAACCGATGAGGACCCAAAATTCAGAAAGGTTTTGCCGAAAACAGCTACGGTAATCTATTTCTGGGGTAGAAAATACTCAGTATTTCGAAAAATTGTAATTTTTTGTAAATATCTAATTTATAATTATGAACATATCAATGATACTTCATGTCAACGCAGAAGTGCTGACTGCTGGACTGCCAACCTTGATTGGGTTTTCTTTGTAGTACAACATATCACACCATGCACCAATGAATGATCTAGTTTTCGGTCTGAGACACAATAAAAAGTTTCATTTGTCGAAACGAAAAATAAATTCACAAATTTATTTTGTGGATTTCATAAGATCGTATTTTTTTCTGTCCTGCTCGAGACGTAGCTAAACAGCAGCTGATATTAGATTGGTAGAAAGTATGATTACTGTTATCCGATAATGTACTAGTATTTTAAATTTGATTTCAAAAACTGTAAAATATAATCGTTGATATAGTACAAGTATTATCGTTATTTAATCTGTGTAGTTTGGTCGTATGTAATAAAAAGATAAGTTAGTTAAGCGTTTTTATAACTGAAACTAGCTCGCATAGGGCCTGGCCAGGCAGGCCATTGTGTACAATTGTTATTACTTGACTTCCGTCGTCTGCTACCTTTAACAAACATATTCTCCTCTGAAATTGTTTATGGCCAATTGGAACAAAAGCTACACACAGAATTTTAAGCAATTTTTTGGATTTTTTTTCCCTTAAACACGCTGTTTGTTTTCTTGTTTTAATTTTTCAATTTGTCATGCTGGGACCTTTTCAAAACCAGTGCAACATAAACTGCTCAGTCAGTGTGTTAAACTGATAAAAACTTATCAAAATATAAAAAATTGGCATACAATTTAAAAAGTCAGACGCGCGTTTAGTCTACATAAGACAAATCAGTGACGCCCGAATCAAACAGTAGACATCGAAATCTAGATCGAAGCTGACAAGCATTGAAAACAACAAAATTTCAAAATGTTTTTACAAATCTAACAAAGAACATGGATGTCTAGGGGTAAAAAAATCTTAGCGATTTTTTTTTTTTTTTTTTTTTTTTTTGTAACAAAAAATACAACTTTACCAGAATTATACTTATGTACGCCAACTGGTTTACATAAACTGTTTAAAGTTTTCGAAACACTAAAGTGTGTTAAACGAAACTGGGGTGATTTAGGTGCTCCGGAAGGGTTAACAGATCCACAAATGTCAACCGTCGTGTTGGTCATGGTATTTAAGAATTCGGTGATGAGTCTCATTCGATGGTGTCACAATCGATGAAAATAGGACGCAATTGTGGTAACGACAATTTGAATATAACCGTGGTCATATGTGACACAGATATCCAATAACGGTCAATCAACTCGTGATGGTGTAAAGCTAAGTAAATCATAGATTAAAAATTAGAAGGAACAACGAAAAATTAAAGAGATGGAAAAGTCAAAGAAATTAAACAATTTAAAAAATCTTGAAAAAGAAAAGTTATGATGTGGGTAGGTTTTTAAATATATTTTACATTGTGTGGTGGTTATCGTTATCAATTTCTCTCTGTGATGATTCTAATTTTGTTTTGTTTTACTTTTTTGTCTTTTTTTTTTTTTTTTTTTTTTTGTTCTTTGTTGTTTTTTTTTTATTTGCTATATTTTACAATTATTATTATTATTATTATTATTATTATTATTATTATTATTATTATTATTATCATTATTATTTATATTATTATTATTAGTAGTATTATTTATATATATAATAATTTGTTGACTTCTGTATAAGGTTTTTTTGTTTTTGTTTTAATGAGGTTGTTCAGCTGCCTTACCAATGTTGATTTATTTTCTATGTACTTGAAAGCGATGTCGCAAGAAAGATAACTCACGTTTGTTTTTATAAAAAAAGATACAAACTTAAAGGGTTATGTCGATTGAAATGATATATATATAGAAAGTACTTCCATGCAAAATATCCACACACATAAACGTAAAAAATTGGGTCGATTAGAAATGATGCTTCTATGCAAAAACTTTAAGAACTAGGTCGATTGGACTACCTAGAACTGATCCTGACAGTTCTACCCTCGAACAGTTTTAGACAGTTCTACCTAGAACCGACCAAATCTTTGGTCAGTTCTACGACTAGAACAGTTCTACGACTAGAACAGTTCTACGGCTAGAACAGTTCTACCACTAGAACAGTTCTACGATTAGAACTGATTTGGTCAGTTTTACGGCTAGAATTGATTTAGTCAGTTCTATCCATAGAACAGTTTTAAGAACTCTTTGTCTTAAATATAAATAAGTCAAAAGAATATAATAATTATTAAAAAAATTGCAGTGATGTCATTTAGAACTGTTCTACAATCCTGACAGGTTTGGTCAGTTCTACGGCTAGAATAGTTTTCGACAGTTCTGCTGACAGTTCTACGGTTAGAACTGATTTGGTCAGTTCTGCTGACAGTTCTAAGACTAGAACTGATTTGGACAGTTCTACCTAGAACAGTTTTAGACAGTTCTACCCTAGAACTGATCCTGACAGTTCTACCTAGAACTGATTTGGACAGTTCTACCTAGAACTGATTCTGACAGTTCTGCTTAGAACAGTTCTAGGGTAGTTTAGGACAGTTCTATGACAGATTATTCTGACAGTTCTGATGAGAGGTTAGAAGTGATCTCCACTGTATATAAGAAAATTAATGAAAGATAATAACGGTTTCAATTCATCACTTTAAAGTAAAAGTGATGAATTGAAACCGTTATTATCTTTCATTAATTTTATTATATGTTACCGGTATACGGATTCTACTTAACTTTTCTTTGTATATAAAGATCCATTTTGTTGCATCTTGTGATCCGTTTATTTGGCAATCGCCAATGGCAGTCAACAGGGTTTAAAAACAACCGTTGTTCGACCTGTTAGACAAATGCGTTTTGTATTTAGACCCCTCTACCAAGAAATTTGTTTTGTTGGTAGAGGGGTCTAAATACAGCACAAACAACATTTTCCAAAAGACCAAAAAAGTAAAAAAGTATATTTAAACAAATCGCATTAGGCTAACATGTCGAACAACGGATGTTCTTAAACCTTGCTGACTGAATTTGCGATTGCCAAATAAACGGATCACAAGATGTAACAAAATGGATCTTCATTATTAATTTAATACCAAACAGAAAACAATAAACTTGCGGAAAGATGGTATACCGCAAACATGAGGTGCAAAAATTTGTACATCATATCCGGATTTCGACAATTTATGTCTCTTCAGTGATGTTAGGAATCGAAACGATATTTGGAAAGCCATATAATTTACCTCAATTTAGGATAGACTCTTGAATTTTGAAGAGTCGAAATAGGATGAACGGATCATATAAACCCGAAGGCAGCCCAAACGAAAACAATTAAATAAGTCTAAATTGAAAACAACGTTCAAACCTATGATTGCGTTGTATAAAAACTGCAATTTTTATACGTGTGCATGCAAAACAAACTTATTGGTAGAGGGATCTGAATACAGCACAAACAACATTTTCCAAAAGACCAAAGAAGTGAAAAAGTATATTTAAACAAAACGCATTTGACTTACAGGTCGAACAACGGATGTTCTTAAACCCTGCTGACTGCCATTGGCGATTGCCAAATAAACGGATCACAAGATGTAACAAAATGGATCTTTATTTTTAATTTAATACCAAACAGAAAACAATAAACTTGCGGAAAAGATGGTATACCGCAAACAAGAGGTGCCAAAATTTGTACACCATATCCGGATTTCGACAATTAATGTCTCTTCAGTGATGTTAGGAATCGAAACGGTATTTGGAAGGCCATATAATTTACCTCAATTTAAGATAGACTCTTGAATTTTGAAGAGTCGAAAAAGGATGAACGGATCATATAAACCCGAAGGTAAATATAATACAAGCCCAAACGAAAAAATATAAATAAGTCTAAATTGAAAACAACGTTCAAACCTATGATTGCGTTGGATAAAAACCGCAATTTTTATACGTGTGCATGCAAAACAAATTTCTTGGTAGAGAGGTCTAAATACAGCACAAACAACATTTTCCAAAAGACCAAAGAAGTGAAAAGGTATATTTAAACAAAACGCATTTGACTAACAGGTCGAAGAACGGATGTTCTCAAACCCTGTTGACTGCCATTGGCGATTGCCAAATAAACGGATCACAAGATGTAACAAAATGGATCTTTATTATTAATTTAATACCAAACATAAAACAATAAACTTGCGGAAAAGATGGTATCCACTATGCACATTTATTTATATATATATATAATATAAATGGCCGAATAATAGCCAACGAAAAACGAGGCGATGGATCATATAAATATGATGCAGTACACTACAAAATATAATATATAATAAACAAGTCTAAAAGGGTACAACATCACCACAAAAATAGTAAAATCATGAACAAATATTAAATATTTCGGATAACTTATACCCTTCATCAGTAAGATGTCAAATGATTTTTATCTTGACATATGGTAGTCGAACTGAAACTATAATCTTGAACGTCATACAAATTATCACGAATCAATACGCTGGTAATTTTTTTCAATATTGATGTTTGAGAGGAGGAATAAATTACTTAAAACTGTGAGGGTCCTGTACTGAAGCCTGAGTTACAGGAAACAAGTGATGGTAGGGGCTCATTTTATGTTTTTTTCATTAATGCCATCTGGGGAAACTGTCCTTAACTTTTTATCCAAAAACTTTCCCGAGCAAGTCTGTCGACCAACCCTCGTTGTGGTCTATGATAGTGATGGTTAGGTTTTTGAGATCAGCTTGGGCGTGCCCAGGTGATCTCAAATGACGACTTACGGGGAGGTCGGGATGCAGGTGTAGTCACTTCGATGACCATTCATATATATACGTATGTGTGTGTGAAAGCATTATATATCTATGTCCAGTCTCAAATCTGTTCAAATCATTCTTAAACTACACTATGATTGGCTTGTTTTTGTTTAATGCAAATTCCAATTCGAGCATATTTTTTTAGTCCGTGGTATAAAAAAATTGGGAAAAAAACGAAAATGTGTATACTTGTTCAATAATTGTATCTAATATCTTGTCCGTTATAACCATAGTTCACGATATCTTTCACGTATTGGTTGATCGTTGCAGTGTCTTAGTTTCCTAGACACTTGTATACTTATCCACTGTCGTCCGTCCGACATTTTAAAAGTTTTTTCATGTTCTTTATGATAACATCTGCAACTGGTTAACAGTTGGATTCACATAACAAGTGATGCTGTATTCCAGGAGATGCTTTTAGTAGGTAGAAAATCCTGTCTTATTCCGACTGCAGCTTATACTTGAACGGGGGATTTTCCAGCTAAACCATTGCTGTGAAGCCAGGCACATTTACAGGCATTCCCAAATTTAGTAAATTGATTCAAATTTGTTTCATATCTGAAGGTTTTGAACAGCGAGTTCCATAATATGGATGCAGCATATCGGAAAGATTTTTTTTCCAATAAATTTACATATCTAAAATAATACTTGCTGTTTGATTTT